TGTGTATGTATTGTTTTGAAGAAGAAGCACATGTTTGAGTCTCACTCGTTTAGATGTAAATTACATAGGCATTTCCAGGCCATGAGTTTGTTCATCTAACTCACTGAAGAAGGAAGCATTGTTTCCGAAATACGTATATGAGTATTTTTGATACCAATAAAGTGTATTAATGTTGAAAAACAAAATACAAGTTTCATACTTTTTTCAATTATTTAAAAATACACGTAAATCACCAAATTTCATATAATCAAAGTGATAGGTCCCCTGTGATTCAATTAATCACCCAAAATAATTAAATCGCTTTTTTCTCTAGGTCACTTAAATGTTGTTGAGTTTTTGCTTAAGAATGGCGCGGATATTAATTTGAAAACTAGCTACGGATGGTCACCAATAATTGCAGCCGCTGAAGAAGGTCACTTAAAAATCAAAAAACTTCTCCACAAAATATAAATTACACAATATTTTTTAAATTTTGTAACAAAATCATTTCCATAGGTTATGAGCGAATTGTTGAAGTGCTACTTAAAAACGGAGCATATAGGAACGATCAAAATAGCGTAGGAGAAACTGCCTTGTATATGGCTTCGACTCAAGGTAATGCAATTGAAATTCACTTTAGTCAAACTTTGAAATATGGAGAATAATATTGGAATCTCATTTTCACTCAGGCCACTCAAATGTAGTTGAGCTTTTGCTTAAGAATGGCGCAGATATTAATTTGAAAGACAATTACGGATGGTCACCAATAATTGGCGCCGCTCAAGAAGGTGATTTAAAGTTCAATAAATTTCTACAAAAAAAAATTTACAAAACCTTTTTTGAATTTTGAAACAAAACCATTTCCATAGGTCATGACCGAATTGTTGAAATACTGATCAGAAATGGTGCCCTTGTAAATATCAAGAATAAGGAAGGATATTCACCTTTAATGTCTGCCGCTAGTGGAGGTGATTTAAAGTTTAATCACTTTCTCCAGAAAATATAAATTACAAAAGACTTATTGAACTTTGTAACAAAATCATTTCCATAGGTCGTGGCCGAATTGTTGAATTACTACTTAAAAACGGTGCAAATGTTAACGATCAAAATGACGATGAAGAAACTGCGTTGTATTTAGCTTCGAATAATGGTAATGTAATTGAAATTCACTTTAGTCATACTTTCAAAATATAGAGAATAATATTTGAATCTCATTTTCACTCAGGTCACTCAAATGTAGTTGAATTATTGCTTAAGAATGGCGCAGAATGGCGCAGAACTGTGCTTGACCTTGCTGCTAGTAAAGGTACTATTGGATGAACCTATATTTGTCGTATTTTGATGAATTAACACTAACAACTCATTTCTATTCACTCAGGAAATTGGAAAATCGTTGACCTCCTTAATGCCGTTCGTCGAATGCGGCCATCAGAAAATGGT